TAATTTTATTTTTTGCTTTTTTTTTTAATTTTTTATTATTTAGAAATTAATTTTTTACCACGAAGTTGGCAACAGCAATAAAAACATAGAAACGATGAGCATCGTGGGTTCTTCTCTCTGTGTATGCGCGAACTAGTCAATTAGTTTTGGATATGTCGATCTGAAATTTTTTCCCCATTTTCTGCTCATTTGTCGGAACTGTCGATATCGCAAACTTATGTCATAACGTATAGATGCCATACCATGCATTCCTGACTGATTCCTCAAGGCATTGGTACAATCTCAACGTAAATTGTTCAGAGCGGACTACTAATGTTACACATAGCTACCATACAAATTGGAAAATTGAGGCTTTGCACTGAGACCTATGGTCTATTGAGCCCTCTCCTATATCACATATAGTCACAAAGGTTTAACATTCTGTATAATCCCTGGAGTTTGTGGTCGTCCCCTATTCACGTAAACTGAACCTAGGGCCCTGAGCTTGCTTTTGTAAAATGGTGGGTAATCTAGAATCAGGTGTTCTAGAGTTTCCTGTTCAATGTCAGAAAACCGACAGTTTGCACAAGAGACTCTGCCTATGCTATATTGGGATACTGCTTCTTGAGTCTGCAGTGCCCTATATAGAGGGCGACAAGGAGGCAGAATTTGTAACGGGTGAGGTTGATCATTTCTTTACACCTTGCAAGGTTGTTCCATCTCAGAAGTAGCTTGGCATGGCGCATTCATGTAGCATGCTGCAAATGCCGTTCTCTCCCACTCTGTCCACCGTACGGAGCAACTCCTTTAAATTGTGGGATCCCACCGCAATGCATGGTTCTGACTCTATCACCCTGGACACTGCTGCAGAGCGGGTTAGTTCGTCGCTCAACTCATTGCATGCTACTGCTACTTTATGCCCTGGCAACCAGTTTGAATGTACACTGTTGCAAACTGATTGGCGGTTCAGCCTTCCTGTACACTCCTTCACTAAAAGCGATTTGACCTCACACGCTAAGGTCGCCTTCGCGCCGCTTGACTATCGTTGTTAAACTATTTTTTAGCCAATGGTTATAACTTAAGTTACATTTTTGTTTTATTAGAAAACTCTCTCTTAATAAATAAATTTTAGTAATTTTTAATTTTTTTTTATATTATTCAGCAATTTATTTTTAGCTTTATATTATGTTTTTATTGTTCTG